ATTAGATGTTGGGAGGAAATTCTTTACTCAGATGGTGGTGAGCCACTGGTGCAGGTTCCCAGAAGCAGTGGATGCCCCATCTGTGATGACATTGAAAGCTGGGTTGGATGGGGTCCTGGGCAGTCTAATCTGATGGGTGGCAAACCTCCCTATAGCAAGGGGGTTGGAACTTGGCAATCTTTAAGGTCCCTTCCAACCTAAGCCATTTTATGCTATACATGCTCAGTTTTTTAATACAAGGGCTGGCATTTTTAAAAACTTAATATTTTTAATTTAATGGATTTAAACAAAACACTTGATGTATTTTAAGTTGAAAAATTCTTGCAAATGAAAAAGCTCTTTAATCAGTTACACATAGTAGCTTGAGTTCGTGCTTTTTTAGGTTTCTTGACAGTAACCAACCTACTTTTAGTATGGAATCCGTGTTGAAAAGATTCAAGTGGCAGCCTTTTAAAACTATAAAAAAAACAAACGAAAGACAAAAAAAGTGATGCACAGCATCTCAATAATTTTTCCTAGTTTTTGGCAGAGAATGTGGTAAGAGGTGAATGTGAAGAAAAGGGGAAAAAAAGAAAAAAGAAAAAAAGAGGAAAAAGAGAAAGAGATGGTAGGAAAATAGTTATTTCTCTTCTTTGGTCTGATGCTTATTGTCTATTACAGAAATACAGAAGTCTCTTCAGAAATGAGTAATTCCAGAACTACAAACTTATTGCATTTATAAATGATTAAAATAATGTCTGCTTTGACTGTAATTTTTTGTCTCCTTTTATTCACTGAAAGCACAGTGAAAGTAGGATTAGGGAACAAATACTGACAGACAATAAAAGCATATCGTTATTTACCTGAGGGACTTGCATCACCTGGTAGGCAAAGCCTTTATAAAATAAGCAGTTTTGGGAGGAAAAAAGCCAACAGCCATTTCCTTTATGATAATTAAGCTATATATGTCTTATTATATGTTTTTGGACATCAGCTTAGAATAAATCTAAGGGGGGAAAAAGCAATTAATCTGTTGCTGCAAATCAAGTATGCTTCTGTTTTTCAGAATTATTTCTCAAATGTGAACAATGACTTTGATCTTCAACTTGGTGAAAGCATGGCCTTGTATGCTGAGATATTTTGAGATCCTCTGAATTGAAGTTCAAGGCCATAAGAGTTTCCACAGATGTTTCAGATCTCTAGCTTTTCAAAATAATACCAATTGGGGCATCTTAAGAGTTGTTGAGTTGCTGTGCTAATGACTTGAAATAAGCTCAATTATAAGTGAGGTCATGTTTTGAAAAGAGGTATGAACAATAGTAAATGCCATCCAAGACCTTGAAAATGTCTTCAGCTACAACAGCAACCAAAAAAGAGGTCTGAAGGAGTAGGAGAAAGAGGCAGTTAGTGTTTTGTCTTTGTTTTTTGTTTTTAAAGAAAGTGCTGTCTGGATGCTTCTCCCTTGAATTTTGTGTATTTTAATTAACCACCATAATACATGGATTTTCACCTAAAAGTTTCCTAAATTGATGCATGAATATTCCCAGGAAATGAGTTGGGTTTTTTTTTGGTGCATGAGGCAGGCTGTATGGGAGAAGATGGGAAGACGTTGCAGTTTGTTAAATACACTGAAGAAAGAATAGAATCTGTAGGGAGAAGGAGATATTTTAATGAATATAATTCCTGAGATAGGATGCTGGTTGATTAAAGTGAAGTTTGAATGAAGATAAATGTGACGTGATGGAATCAAAGCAAGGCATTCCATTTTGAAACGGAAACTTATAACACATTTTGAAAGCAAAGGAGGGAATTCCGTAAATCTGGGAATACTGTCCTTCTTTCTTCTGTAACTGTAGATATTCTAGAGTATGTATAATTTTCAAAAAGAAAAGTTCCTATTGTAAGCACATTCTAATGGTAATGAAGCTCAGTGAAGCAATGAAGTTATGATTTCTTTGGTTATTGGAAAGAATGTTACAGTAATTAAGAAACCTGGAGGACTTTGGAGTATTGGCATGTTTCTGAGGATACACTTATTTAAAAGAACGTGTGGCAGAGCATTCAAATCATACATTTAAAGATGTCTGAATTCTCCCCTTCAAAGTCAAATTCTCTGCATTCCTTAAAGTCTTTTAGTTTTGTATATTTTAAATGTAAGTATTAATGTTCTTACATCTTTTCACTCCTGCAAAAGAAAATTTGATGTAAATTAATTAAACATGATTATACTAAAACCTTGACAATACCTCACTCAGGACAGTAGGGAAGTCTGAGGGGTGAGGAGAAGCACAGGAACTTACTCTGTTTTCTACATCACCTACTCTTCTTCCTTCTCTCCCTGAAATACACAAATCTACTCCTAATTTAGGAGATCTGAAACCTCCCTCCTATTTGTTCTTTAGCAGTGTGTGCTTCAATGGAGCCAAGATCAGTCTACTGCTTTCTTCATTCCCATACTTTGCTCGCTTTCTTACCTTCTTACTGTGGTCTCCAGTGAGCCAACACTGGGCTTTTTTCTGGATTTTATCAGATTTTATCAGAAATACTAGTTACTTTTTTGTGCTTCAGGAGGTGCATATGAATCATTAACTGGAGCAGTGGGCAATAAAAAGTAAATCATATGAGTTCATATGGGATAACTTGAAACCTGTGGGAGTTTTGGTTTCAATACTGGAAATCTACGTAACAAGTTTTCATATATCTATTGTATTTTTTAATAAGAAAAGGTAAATCAGAAGTCTAGAAGATAAATATTTTTATATACTATATATATATATGATATGTATATATATATTTGTTCATATATGTATATAAGTAAATATACATATAGAGATCCATGTAACCTATACATGTATAAATAGATACACATCTTTAGTATTCTACAATATCTGAAAGGATTAAGAAAGAGAATACCCTAGGTGGCAATAGTGTCACTTCTCTCAGAATTGAACAAAAGACATTTTGCTTGAAAACAAAATACTTCCTACAGATGTCTTTAATTTGCTTGAAGAGGATTCATTTTTAGAGTTTATCAACTTCAGCGAATTTATTCAGATGTGCCACAGTACCTCTCCTTTCTTTTATACATCATTTTTTTAAGGGTTGAGGGGGCTGAGTCATGACTTAGCATCTGCCATCTTCTCAGAGAACTAGTTCTATTTTTCTAAATCAATCAGGAGTTGAATTAGACTTTCTTGAGCCCAAGCCATTTTATTTATTTCCTTTAGTGAAACAAAACAAACAAAAAAGTTGCCTGTGATGTTTTCTAGAAGTGGTAAATATTGGAGAAAGCATAAAACATTCTTAAAAGTACACATTTTAAGAATGTTAAATGTAATCAATGAGCATATTGCAGTTTGCAAAAGGATGTGAAGATAGGCCTTATGACCTGTTCTACTTGTGTAATCGTTACGGAGACAAGTAAAGCACTGATGTATTTTCCCAGTTTTGTCATTCTTTGTACATCTGCAAGCCACATTAATACCATCTTTTTAATTGTTAAAAACGTGTTATTTATCTCAAAATTAAGACATTCTTACAAATGTCTCTGCTACAGAGTTTTTTTTTCTATTTCCCCTTTTTTCACTATATAACTTTGAGAATTAGTTTCAGTGAGTGCAAGCTCTTAAGTAGTGTACAAAGAAATATCCATGTCAATTAAATTGTCTTGCAGAGCTTTAGAGGCACTAGCAAGTAGTTGCAGCCATGTGTATTAATGGAACTGATTCAGAACATCTGAAACCCTCTTCAGCCACAGACTGATGATACACATTTTTGTTTCCCTCTTAATGCAGCTCTACATTAAATCTGTAAGTGGATCTTATGTATGAGCTATGGTTGCACACTTTCTGAACAAATACTGTAGATCTGAAACATGATCTTTCTACTTTGTTCATACATTTTCTTCCACATTTAATTAGTGTTTTGCTACTTGTTTCTTTAAGATGGTGTTGTGTTTTGTAAAGCGCTTTAGATTGAAGTTCTTCAGCAATTACTCAGCTCCAAATGAGACCAGAGGGTTGTGATTTTAATTTTCCTCAGTTTTTCCTTAGTTTGTATTGCTCAGAAAGTGGAACAATGTAACGTAACTTTATGCTGTCGTGTGATGATTTTTGTGGGTATTGATTTGATGAGAATTCTTTAAGATGTACAAAACTTTAGAAACTCTTTCCTTTTAGAGTTTTAGGTGGAAGTGGCTGTGCAATATTGGGATGGGGGAGGACAGTTTCAAATTGAAACTATTCATAAAAATACATATTTGAGTAAAACAGAAAACCATCAGGTGTCATATCATATGTCTTGAGTTGCATTAAGAGATTAAATATTCTTAACCAGTGTCAGTTTGAGATAAATTCACTTGTGAAAATAATTAGTAAAATGCATACTTTGAATATAAACTTATACATATATGACACATTTTTACTGTGCTTCTGTTGATTTTTAAGTATGTTTAAAACAGGTAACTGCATTTAAGATTGAAAGTGGAGAGGAAGGAAGGGGACCTGGAATATTCATCGACTTGATCTTATGGCTTTTCTGAATTCTAATGGTTTAAACCTAAAGCAGAGCTGGTATATGGAACCTATACCTGCAAGTACAATAGTATTGCTTAATTTTGCATCATTTTTTCTAGGTCTGTTTGTTCAAATGACTTTATAAGAGTTTGTTTTAATCATGATGTACTGGGACACACTTAATAATTTTGTATGTGTTCTGGTTTAAAAAAACGAGAAAAAAAGACACGTGTACCATGACTTAGGATGGAGATACTTTCATGGTGATTAAAAAAGAAAAAAAGGATGGGTATTTGCCTCCCTCCTCTTTTTTTTTTTTTTTAATTCCCTCAAATACATCATTAGATAGCATACTAATTCAGAGTTAATAATTTATTCAAGGTTATACTTTGCTGGCTATTCCTGTTCAGGTGGTTACACGTAGCCACTTGATTAATTGATCACAGCTATGTGCTTGCTTTTATTATGCTCCATGTTTGTTTTTATTGTTCTCCTCTTGATTTGCAGCTCTTTGCAAAAAACAAACCTCCGAAAGGTCTTTATGTCTATGGAGATGTTGGTAAGTCTCAGCTGCATCAGTTTCAGTGAAATTTTGTCTTAATACATGTTTATTCACATTGTAAAGTATCTTAAGAGCCTGAAATGTATGTAGCATGATTACTTTAGTGAATGTTCTGGGTTTATTTTTCTTCTGTATTATGATGTTAGTTTATGGAATGGAATTATAAAATGGCTTGGGTGGGAAGGGATCATAAAGTCCTCTGAACTCCAACTCCCTGCACTGGGCAAGGTTGCCCCCCACCAGATTGGGCTGCAGCAACCTGGCCTTGAATCCCTCCAGGGGTGCAGTTAATCTAATGGCAGTTAATGCAATTAGATTTAGAAGTTTGGAAGCTATTGAATTGGACTGCTTTACCATGTGTGTTTTTTTCCAGTGTTACCCACTCTCTATTATTTAAGAATGGGGAGCCAGGGAGGGAATTTATATATCATAGTTGCAGAATACAGAATAATACAGAATAAATACAGAATAAAACAGTACTCACTTTTCAAACTGAGATAATAAGGATGCAAATGGAGGCATTTTTGCAACCTTTTTGCAAACCCTGTATAGATCAAAATTTTAAATGGAAAAATAACAGTCCAGTTGTTCCGAGCGTTTGAACGTAAAGCAGAACCTTTCTTCCCAGTTTGGCCTTGTACTTATTCAGTGGTTATTCAGTAGTTTCATTATTAAAAGCTAATGAACAATCATTATTGTGATCAGTATGTAACTGTTCTTAAATTAACTACCTGTTGGATGGGGGTTTTTTTGTTTGCTATTTTTTTATTTGAAGGCACAGGGAAGACGATGGTGATGGACATGTTCTATTCTCACTTAGAAGTAGAAAGGAAAAAGAGAGTCCATTTTCATGGCTTCATGCTGGATGTGCACCAGAGTAAGTGGAGATACTGATATTTACAAGAATTGTATGAAAAACTATTAACTGTGAAAAAGTCTGACTCATTCTCTTATGTATATTATTCATCATACAGTGTAATTTTCTTGAAGTTTTTAAACAAATGAAATAACAACAACAAAAAAAAAGAGTGAGTTAGAAGGTTTGGTCATTGTTTGTCACACCAGATTGGATGCTAACTGTATACTATTTCTCAAGTATCTTTTCAAATACTCTGATGTTCTGCATACCTGATTGTATGGAAGACTGCATGTGTATTTAAGGATGATATAATAAGGATCGAATCCTTATCTGAATAGTCTCTGGTTAATTACTTGGCTGCAATCTAAAGAGAGCACCTGCTGAAATAGAATGATAAAGTACAAAGCAACATGGTGATATCAGAAAAAAAGTACAGATAAATGTAAATGTGATATTGTGTTTTTTTTCCACTGGATCATGATTCAGAGGCAAAGTTTGTGCTTCAGAGAGATGGACTAATTCTTCCAAGACTTGTGCAGTATTTGTCAAGTTTTCACGTTCATTCATTACTGCTTGGCTCCATATTTCTTTTCACATCAGTCTGGGAAGATTTTAGCTTTTATGAAAAACAAAACAACCATTGCTATGTAATGTTTTGGGTTTTAATAGTGCTTAGTATTTGTTGATTTGTCGCTAAGGAATAGGTTGTGCTCCTTACAGACCAAAAGAAAGTTCAGCTGAGTGAAGAGAACATGTCTGGGGAATGAATAGATAAGTTAAATCATAGATAATCCAGAATTTGCCTTCTCTTTCTCTCAGTTTTGGGATATTCTTTCTGAAGGAAAGAGTCAACTCATAGTGATGAATGTAGTCTTTCTGAAACTGGATCGTATGAACGCAAGACAAATGGTGCAAAAATGATAGGAAATAATGGAAAAGTATAAAATATGGGGTAATGCATCCTCTCTCATTTGGTGCTTTAATTAAAAATTTTAAAAAAGCATAACCTAATTTATTTGTGGGAATAGGTTTACAAAGATTGTAGAGGAGAGGACTGTATTTATTAACAGAAAATGATCACAAAAATAAATGGTGATGGAACTCTGTCATGACAGAGGGAGAAGAAAAACTAATGCATTTGGATAATGACACTGACTATAATGATAATGTACCATATGAAACGTTAGCAAATAGAAGATTGTTTCCTAAGGCCCCGTTAAAGGCAAATCTATGGCAATGAATTGATTGTGTAATTGCTGAAAAAGAGCATTGTGTAAACTGTTTTTTTAACAGTTGTGTATATAAATAATTTTGATCTGTGTAATTTGAATAAGCAATAACTAAATGAGGTATAAGTGCCGACAAGAATGAGAACTGTTCTGGGTTGGTGAACTTTGCAAAATTGATGATAATCAGTTTGGGGAAAATAGAAGGAAGGTGATCCTAATTTTCAGAACTTTTTTCTGACAGAATGAACAAGGTGCTTTTTGCTGCATGGAATATAGGTATTTTAAAATCTGCTTCTGTTTCTGAAATGTATGACTTTAAAGTACTGTGAAATTGGTTACGTGTAATGGTACAATTTACAAATACTGTGACAGCAGCATTTTTCTTGGAAAGCTTTCACTGGTGTAAAGAAGCTCTGCTCTTTTGACTGCTCTTCTGTCGTCACTGGGTCACTGTTGAGATTTTCTTTTTCCATTTCTTGTTTCTTGTATTTTTAACAAAGCCAGCTTCTTACTGTAGAACCTTGGTTTGCCAAATGTCTTTGTGTAGGCAGATGGAATGCAGTCCGTGACATATTAAAGTATGTACTTAATAATCTTATTTGATATTTCAGTGTTACCTTGTTTACATTGTAAAATATAATTGTATTGCTTTGTCTGAGTTCTTGTAACTAAGTATATTATACTTTGTATATGTAAGTATATAAGTATATATAAGTACATTCTAAGTATATCTCCAGACCAGGCAATGCACAGAGCTGCGTCGTGGATTTGGAAACTGTAAGGGTTTTTCATATTCAGCAGATTAAGTCATAAAATGCCAAATTATGAAGTGAAACTGCAGCTAAGCTCACGAAGTGGAGCAAGATAAAACTGTAATTTGGATCAGTTTTTAAAATAAAATATAAGTGTTTGATATTAGTGCTCAAGGGTTCATAGTTTTTTATTTTACATATTTCTAAGCAAGAAAATATAAATCACAGAGTCTCTGTGGTTTTACTGGTTACCTGATGTGGTTGCAAACTTAGCAGTTTTGCCTTCTCAGAGTTAGATGAAATTTGAAGTGTGTTTGTTTCTTTTTTTCCTGACTTGAATCACCTTTTTATTTGATAGCTAAATAATTTTGTTTTCTGTCTTTTAGAATATTTTAGTAGACATAAGAAACACTTTATTCACTTATGTTTTATCTACTCAGGAATACATCGCCTTAAGCAGAGCTTGCCTAAAAGAAAGCCAGGATTTATGGCCAAATCATACGACCCAATTGCACCAGTAGCAGAGGAAATAAGTGAAGAAGCATGTCTCTTATGTTTTGATGAATTTCAGGTAAGAAATCAGATTAATCCTTGGTTTCAAGGGAAACTTCACACAGTTATTTTTAATCTACAACTATGGTATTTGTTTTTAGTAACATATTATTTGAATTACTGGCCAGAATTGAACTGGGGAAGTTCAGAGGTAGAAGGCATTTCATAATTTTGAAGGTGATGTTTTTGTTGGGCTTTTTTTAGGAGTCGGCTACATATGTGCCCCCTTACAGTCGTTTCACTTTCCCACTGTAACTACTGTTCATGCTAGCGAGTAACTCTGATTGTGGTGAGAGGCTTGTGAGTGCTTCAGGGCAGGAGCTGTCATCTTAAAATGAGTCTGTGCAGCACCTAGGCCAGCAGTGACACGATAGAAGCTTCGGGTGCCGGGTCTTTGCCATGTCTCACAGAGTGGAACGAAATGGTTTCACTGTCATTAAGGTGACATTAAGGAAATAATATTTCAATTTCAATCTGAATTCCTTCCTAGAGTTACTGGAGCCTCTGGCACATCAGTGTCAGGTTATGTTGGCATAATCTACTTTAGGGAAAATTTTATTGAATTAAATATGAAAAGTAAAAAATGAAATGATAAAATTCATCTTTGTACAAAATCACTTGATTGTTTCAATTGTTTTATCTGACTTGTGAATTCTGTTCTAAGGACATGTCACAAATTTAAGCATAGAGTTGCTTTATAATTTTTTTGGAGAGAAGAGGTATATTTAGCAGCTCAATTCAGAAATCTCATCTAGAAACTACAGGGGAAGATGAGAACAGGTCCATGTTGTTCAAATCACCACCTATCAAAAGAATAATCATTTAATTGTAAATTTTCTGCATTACACTCTTAATATGTAACTGGAAGGATAGAACAATTTTAATCTCCTAGGTACTACATTTAGCTTGTGCACTAAGAAAGATTTATGATCAGCTTCCACGATGGGGATTTTTGCAGCCATTCAGTACGTGTTTCTGTTTTGTTACTTCTGCATTTTGCATCAAGGAATAATCCTTAAACCTGTGGTTTCAGAATGTGTGGAGTCACTGCAATCTCAGTTGAAAATGTTTAATAAAAAGTTGTATTTGAGTTATATTTTTGCAGGGTCTCAGCGTGTTAAAAGAACACTTCTCATGGTTAAATGTGTTTTGTTGGAGTATGTTCTCTAAAATATGTTAACATCAGGAACTTATTCAAATCATTCTACCAAAGTTCATTGCCTGCCTCTCAGCTAAAGAGCTGCAGATTCTGTTTTGTTCTTTGCTTTTGACTTTGTTTGTTTGTAGTAAAATTTATAACAACCAAGTTTAGAAGGAAATGTAAATTCTAACTGCAGCTCTCATGGATTTCTCTTAAAAAAAAAAGAAAAATTCTGAGCAGTTCACTGGCATAGACACATTTGGGCATGTCTGCCTGTAGCCATGTGATATCTGGTGCTAGCAGTTCAAGGAGGAGACAGCTGAGGAGAGATGTATACTGAACGTGCCCTTCTTTCCTCTTGTCAAAGACTCACTCATGTTTTCAAGTTGTGTGCTTGCACATGTGAACAACTTGTGAACTCACTCACAGACTGAATAGCGCGTGGTTTGAGTTTTGATGGTGCATGTTTTCATCCTCAGCTTTTTAATAAAGTGTTTTTTTCCTTATTTCAAATGCTGCTGTTTGATCATTTGAGATGTGTTTTATCTAGCTGAGCTAGAACACTGGGCTTCCAAAACTCATAGAATGAAATAAAATACAGAGACAATTGTGTTTACACTATGCAGAAGTGAGAAGATTTGGAGTGGGGTAGGGAGAAGTGATATATTCTTGTGATATATCATTTGAAAGGTTTCACAGAGGCATTTTTGCTAACAGTAGCACCAATATTAAGTGTAAGCACCTGCTTTCCTGTATAAATGCCCACTACTTTCATATACTGTTATTCTGCATTTACATATTGTCTATCATCTCGCTGTATTCCCAGAGACTCTGGTGATTTTGTTTTCAAGTTGTTTCTCTGCTCCCCCTGCTGACTTAGTCGAGGTACAGCAACGACTCCAGCTGTCAAAATCACTTCGTGTTTTATAAGTGGGGAAAATAATAAATATATTTCAGAGTATATTTCTTGGACTCTGCATTATTATGCGATACTTTTAATGAAACTATTTGTTCCTGATGCACTAATGGTCAGAATCCATGGATTTCTTGGGTGATCTTCTGTAGCATGAGATGCTACTCAGGCTCTGCCTACTGAAGAGGAGTCGCAGAGTGTATAGAAGGCCCTGAATTTGCTATGAGAAACCTTCTGTTTAAAAACTGTTTAAGTGGTGCAGTGGCTGGAAGAGCAGTTCACGGAGTGGCAAAATTAACATTGGTAGTCAGGACTCAGGACTTTCTCTGCTGATTCCTCCAGTGAAATCTGTCCATTATTGCCACTACAACTGATTCAGTCATATTTAAAAAAGAAAAAAACAAAACCCAAGCAAACAAATAAAAAAATACAGCTCAAACCAACCAAACAAAAAAAATCTGGACAGACAGATCATATGCTGATCTGGCTTGCAGGCAAAGCTGCTGTCTGTTTTGACATGTGGGAGGTCAGGTTGGGTCATTCGTTGGCGAAACGCTTGTGTGTTGAAGAAATCTCAGAAACACTTCTGAGATTTGTTTGAAGCATTTCAAGTGTCTTTTCTGTGGTGGGGGGGAAGGAGAATAAGCTGGGTTGATTTTATAAAACTGAGGTTGTGAATTCCCCCTTGATGGGAGGCTAAAGCAAACCGGAAGTACTCTGAAGAACATCGTTGTTGCCTAAAGAAACCTCAAACAGTTGCTTGACTAATTCACTTCAAAAGTATTTCAGTACGCCTTGAGGTTGATTTCTGTCTTCAGATGTATTGTTATTTTTTCCTGTTTTTAAATGTTATTTTTTGCAAACTCTTTGTGGTAGAGCCAGGCCATTAGACATGGCATTAAGCTTCTGACCATTCTGAAGCTGGTGAAGCATCAGCATCCACCTGAGATACAGGCTCTCAGGTTGTTAAAATTGTACTGCTTTTTACTGATCTTTATCGTGCCAGTGTGATAGAAATGCTAGACCTTTTTCTTTTAGCCATTCTAAAAACACATCCTCACTTGAAAAACAACAGAAAAAAAGCCTCAGAGAATGAATCCATTTGTAATTATGATTTTCATGTTTCAAAATGCAGACATTGCCCAATATAATGAGACTAGTCATTGTTTAGTGATCAGGTAACTATACACTGGCAATCAGAAGCACTGATTTTACCTTGTGACTGTAACCTGTGACAGTTAGTATTGGTGAAAAAGAATCTGTACTTCTGCTGAATGGTCACAGTGTTAGTATTTATACACCATCAGTACCACTTGGACTTAAACCAAGCTACAATTTAGGGAGTTTTTTACTAACATAACCTGCATGCTATTAAAAGCCTCTAATAAAAATTAGGCTCTTATTTTTGTGCTAATACTAATTACTGGTAATGCATGCTTATGTTTATCATTCATTACATGGAACTATACCAATCAGCGGATGACTGAGTCTTGAGCACTTACACATGTAAATTAACTCTTAGTGATTTTAGTGCTTAGTGCTTTTTATATTTTTTTAATTCATGTAAGTGAGCCACAGTGAAAAGCAACATGGGGTCATAAAATTTATTTTTCTTCAGTGTTAATGAAATGTCTCCGTTCTCTCCATTGCCGGGCATTCCTTACTGCTAATTTGTAGCCTTTGCTTCTGTTCCACCAAGTAAGGATTGCAGGATATGGAAAAAAACGTTAAAAAATAACAGTGGTTAATTCCTGTCAGCTAGTTGCTTTGGCTGGTAGAATTCTTCCCTTACCAAAGCTCTATTAGTTCAAAAAAACTTACATTTGCATTCCAGTTCTCAAAATGGCTCTGGCTTTTTGACAGAGCTTAAGGAGTTTGGTTTTCTTTTCTAGTATAGTGAGGACACCAGAATTTAGCATGAAACAACAGTTCTCGTTAATAAGAGAATTTTATTCACTGTTTTCTGTCATGCAAACACTAACATTTTTTCCATTTTGTTTTCTAAAGGTAGTGTGCCTTAGAGTGTTTTCTGAACACAAATTTGGTTAAAAAAAATAATGTATAACATGGATTTTTAAAACTTGCATCACAAAGCAAACCTAAGAGCCAAGAAATTCGTTTACCACTAAAATGCCTATATTGATTTTGTATATTTTGAAGACAAAAGGGAAAATTCCTAAAATCTAATATTTAGAAGAAATAAATTGTAGGTGGAAGCATCAACAGCTACATCAGATATATAGTACAGCTGTGACTCACTACATGTTCCTAAAGCTTAGTGATGAGAGAGATACAAATCTGAGAAGTGTTACTGATCATGTGAAACGGTTTGGTTTTGAAAAAGAGAAAAAAAATCCATATTAATGGATTCCACAGAAATAAATAAAAGAAATCTTTGGGAGAAGGAAATTGGTATTTACATACATTTCCTTAGGAACTGTACTGCTTCCAGTCTAGTTGTGAGAATCACAGCCTCATTCTTTTTCCGTCTCTAACGTAGAATTAATTTGTTTTGCTTCTCAGATAGGTGTGTTAGAATTTGGGAGTGGGGATTTGGAAAAGTACAATACTGATCAGTCTTTCTGTAGCTTGCATTACCATTGCCGTGTTCATATCTAAACTGGCAAAAGCATAGCAGTGCATCGATGTGTAATGAGCTCGTATAACTGCCAGCTGACCACCACCTTTTTATTTCCCCAGAACTGGGGTCTGTGGTAAGTCAAAATGCAACAAGTGTCTATGTATCAACGAAGGAGAAGGCAGAAGGAACAAGAGCTTAATGATAGCAGAGGTGATTTACTTAATAGGACTGCTAATTTCAGCTGCTGAACACCTGCAACATATAAATTGCTGTTGTAACAATGTTATGTTTTTTCAATCTGTTTGGACAAATTTATTCCTTTCTTTCATTTGTGTAGAATGGTTGCTGTTTGGCATTCCTTTTATTTCTTGATACTGTAAAGCAAGTTAGTTCAGCTAAACTTAGATATTGAAAGAAATTTTACTTTATTGCTTATTGTTTAAGCTTTTTTATTTCAGTATTGCCTGTCCCACCCCTTTTTATTTTCTGTTAGTGTTTTCTGCCTGAAGGTTAGAAGAGGCTGACTGTGCTGGAAGTGACTGCCGTGCCTTTTGATTATTCATGGACAGTAATAGAAGGCACTTAAAAAGAACAATGAAATTGCTTATTTTTGTGATGGGCCATCTGTTGAATTGTTTTTTGCAACAATCACACAATAGTATCTATGTCATATCATTCTATTTTCAACAGCAGCTGATTATGTATAGTTGGCTCCTTGTCTTTATTTCTGAAGTCTCATGACCATTTAAATTCACCTCTGCAAACCTTTGCCTCAAAGGTAATAGAAATGTAAAACAGCCGGTGTGTATTGTCTTTGTTTTCTGGTTTTTCTTTTTTTCCGTGTTGTTTCCAATTGATTAGGTCTCTTAAATGTTTAGATCTGTTTTCTGTGTTTCCCACCTGTAGTTTTATAATAGAAGTTAACATGGAATCATTTAGCAATCGGTAGAGATATGGTGGAGTTCTGTAATAAAAAGCAGGCAAGTTTTGAAAGGCTGTGGTACATTCACTGCTTATTAATTATCCCTTTTATTTTTTCCCACCAAGCAATAATTAGAATCTTTCTCCATGGCTTTCACTAACAAGCATTTTTCCTAGCTATAAAGCCACTCGCAAATCTATTGCGGCAGAAGCTGAAAGCAAGACAAAACAAATGTGTTGTCTTCCGCAGGTCACTGACATTGCTGATGCCATGATTCTGAAGCAGCTTTTTGAAAACTTGTTCCAAAATGGGGTTGTCGTTGTGGCAACATCTAACAGGCCGCCAGAAGGTAAAAACAAACATGCTACTACTATTAACCAGGTACAGTTAATCTCAGTATCTTACAGAAAAATCTTGTAAGAATGATATGTTATTGAATATATGTTAATGAACTCACTAGCCTTCAAAAATCTGAGATGCCCCAATTTGTCTCCTGTTTTCTGGGTTTTTTTTGTGTGTGTGCGCTCTTAAAAAAGAAAGGTTTTTCACTTCATCTCACTCCTTTCTTTTCTTGTGCTGAACTTCGTACCTCTTCTTTCCCTTGTCCTTCTGTGGTTTTTGATTTTCTATACTCTATCCAAACCAGTGGGAGGAGAGTATTTAGGAATGGGGATGGGTGAAATATTGCTTCTGTTTGGGAGTTTCCAGGGCAGAAAAGATCATACCTAGAAGAGAGGTGCAGTGAGACAGTTTGTCTACTAGTTTGTAGCTAGCAGACTGCAGACCTTCTACACTAGCTGAGGGGAGGAGCATGCCCCTTTTTTAAGATACCATTTTCATAGCCTAGTTTGAGGTCATTCGTTGGAAAGTACTTAGATGGAGAGTTGTTTCCATTTCTAACAGTATTTTCAGAGTTTGACTAGATAGATACTTCTATAAGCCCTCAAATCGGCATGGGTTTTAATCAAGCAATAATTGTCTTTTTTTTTTTTTTTTTACATCATAATGTAGTGTATATATAATGTTTAGTAGATAGCATAATGCATGATTTCTATGCAACTTTTATAACAATTCACAATTCAGATTAATAGCAAACGTTTGCAAAGCACACTAAAAGATTACAGCATTAACTGATTGCCCCTTAATTTTTCTACCCAAATAAATTAGGTAAAAGAGAATTTTTTTAATCTTTAAGAAGACAAGAAAACAATCAAAATACTGTTACTGAATGGCAAAATAATTTCCTGTTGGGTTATTTTCCTTTTTTTTTTTTTTTTTTTTTTTTAAGCAAACAGTATAAAATCAGAACTAATATAGCTAAGAGAACTACAGGTTAACTCAGTGCTGGGGCCTCGCTCACTTAGGATCCACCCTCGTGTTTGTTGATTCACTACTATCACTACTCTGTGAAGTTCAGGAGAAATTCTTATAATTTGGGTATTCCACCTTACATCTTAATTTGTCAATCTGTGACCATTACTGTCATGTGTCTGTTTTTGGTACATATTTAGTCAACCTGAATAGCATTCATTTCTACTATCTACCCAGCGGAGAACATCATAGAATCATAGAATAGCTTGGATTGGGAAGCACCTTAAAGATCACCCAGTTCCTGCCATGGGTAGGGTTGTCACATCAGTAAAGGCTTCTCCAGAAATGAGCAATATTGCTGTCCAGACACTGATCATTGCTTGCTGTTTGTTGTTCTTGTTTTTGTGTTTTTTCCCCATACTGCTCCATATTTGTAAATGCTTACACTGTGTGTCTGAAATCCTTCCACAGAGAAGAGTGCTGGATTAATCCCTATGTTGCATCAAGGTTTAAGATTGAATTAAGAAATTCTCCTATTGTAAATACAAAAGGAAAAAGTGGCTTTTTTACTAGCAAGCAGATGCACTCAGCAGCTGACCTTTAGTGATGTGCTTAACCATGTTACAATTCTGTCCCATTGGAGTATGAGGGGAAATATAAGGAATAGTATGTGAAGAATCCTGGTTTATTTTCACCACCAAAATTACTGTTTTTTTCCAAATCCTCATAAAACAGACATAATAATTCTTTTATGATTATATTAGACAGTTGGATAGTTTCTTTAAGCACAGCTCTTCATTCCATTGCACAAAAAACATCTTAATATTTTTTGTATTCAGTTGCATTTTGAGCAACTTCACATAAGGCTGTTTTCTGTTTATTTGTTTTTGCCTTAGAGATGACTGTTCTTGTCCCTTTGGAAAAAGAGTGGACCTGGTACAATTGCTAAAGGTTAAAGTTTACCAAACTACACTGAAAAAGAATTATACTAACTTTTAAAATACAGGTTGCTTATTTGAGTTTAATCTGAGTCTTTCCCTTCTACCCAATAATTTATATTTAGCAACTGTATAGTGACAGCCTTATAACATTCATTTTGAGCATTACAAATCATTTTTGTATCCTTTTTTTAATAGTTGTCTTCTGCTAAAATCAGTTATCTCATTAGATGTCTCATCTTTTACTCTATACCTTTTCCAGACTTTCTAAGGATGTTGCTCTCTTACTTGAGAATGTAATGAATTTTTTATACAGTAAGAGAACAGAAATCAATTTCAGCTTTCCTTTTTCCACTTTTGTTCCTTATTGCTTTAGCAACACAGTTTTATTTGCAAGTCTAAAAGACAAGCTCACATTGTTATTAAGACTAAGTAGCAAAACTGGTACTGATTTCCTTTCTTTCAGATCTCTATAAAAATGGTCTTCAGAGAGCTAATTTTGTACCATTCATTGCTGTGCTGAAGGTAAGGAGAATCACTTTATAAATGCTTTTCAATTTTGCTTGCTGTATTAATCAATTTGATTTGGACAGGATTGCTTTGATACTACTTAGGCTGCTCTGAAAGAAATGCCTCCTAGTTATTTCCATGGAAACTACAGCAGATACAAAGAGCACAATAGCACTGTTTGAAGGAGCAAATTCTCATCTACAAAAAGCTATTTTTCAACATAGTCGCCATCGTTAGCTATGCATTTTTGCCAGCAGTGACCAAGAGCCTGCATGCTACACTTGTAGAAGTCAGCACCAGCGGGGATGACCCACTGTTTCACAGCTGTTACGATGGCATTGTTGCTAGGAAAATGTTGCCCACGCAGTCCATCTGTCATCATCTCCAATAGATGGAAGTCAGAAGGCACCAAGTCTGGATTATATTCTGGGCGTGCGGTAGGACAGTCCAGCCAAGATTGACAATGTTCTCTGTGGTCTTCAGAGTGGTACAGGGCCTCGTGTTATCATGTTGCAAGAGAAAGTTCATCTTCTCTGGTCTGACTCCGGTAGTTCAAGCCTTCAGCTTAGTTAGCGCTGTGACGCAATGGTCAGAGCTGATGGTTTGCTCAGGTTTCAGGAAATCCCAAAGAATAATCCTTTTCCTGTCTCAACAGACATTACACTTCGCTTTACCCTCTGAGAGCTGCATCTTGAACTTTGATAGGGAATTCATATGTCACCACTCCATGGACTGCTGTTTTCACTCTGGCTTTTAGTGATGACCCCATGTCTTGTCACTGCTCATAATACACTTCAGGAAACTGCCACCATCAGCTTCGTGTTGGTGCAAGTAGATCCCGACAGATTTGCATACAATGTTCTTTTGGTTCCTGCGTGAGCATTTGTGGGACCCACCTGGCACATACTTTGCAATATTCCAATGCTGCAACTGTCATTTGCAATGCATTGAAGCCAGAATTCAGTTCTGTACACAGTTCCATGGTTGTAATCTGCTGATTTGCATGGATGAGCTGATCAAGATGCCCTTCATTTTGTGGTGTAACAGCTGTGCACAGCTATCTGGAGTGTGGCTTGTATTTCACATCATTGTTGCCACTGCTGAAATGCATCACTGGCCACCTCATTGTGCTCACATCTACTGTTTGGTCTCCATCAATGTTCAGCAAGCATCAGTGGATGTCAATGGGTGCCATCTTTTCTGCACAGAGGAACTCAGTCTGTACTTCCACATCAGACTCGATTCTGCCAGGCTGCCTCTCTGCTGCCATCTCTCACACAGCAACAATGTGTAATTGGTGGGAACATTCAACCTCTACGGCCATATCCTCAACATCTGCCTCTGACATCATGGGCCAACATAATGAAATAGGAGGCATTACTTTTGGAGCAGCCCCTGTAGTTTCCAGATAGGATGTATATGGATCAAAAATAATTGAAAGTAAGCAAAGAGGAATGTAGTTCTAGAACAGGACATTTAGTACGAGAAAAAGTTTGCCTTTTTGGCCAAAGCAGCAGAATGTGTTTGGATGGGACCTTCTTACTGTCGTGTGACATAGTAATTCTGTAACGGTGATATGCTATTATACTCATGGGCATTTTACATTTGTTATACCAAAAAACCCTCTATATTCCTTTGGTTTAAAGAAATTAGTATTGTGCATGTACCCTTGAATTACCTTGTTTGGGGATCTGTACATTTTTTTTCCCCCTCGTGTGGAATTGGACTTCTGAGTCTGTATTTGCAAGGCTTTGTGTGATGCCCAACAAATAGAAGTTCCAAAGCACGCTCCCTGGAGAGGGAAATGTGTGAATTGCTTCATTTAGGTGAAAAAATGGAGCATACTTCTTAAATGTGAATAATAGAATCATTCACTTTGCTTTTAAAATAATATATGCTGAATTCACATTTTAAGTTCTGGATGAGTTGCAAATCTTTCTAATTCCCAAACTCTGACTGTATTGTTACGTTATTGAGGGCTAGCCTGTGGTTGGTGGGGTTAGCATACAGCCCCTGTATTTGGGTCTGTCTGGACTGACATGACATGCAAGGTGCAAATAACAGCACTTACTTTCTTCACAGTAGCGTTGCCAGCATAAACACATAAATAAGGTGAACTGTATCAATATCTAAGAAGATATTGATAGGGAAGGTAGAAATTGAGGTCAGGTTGGATTAATAAGGAATTTAGAATTTCAGAATAGATAGATTGGTTGGATATTTATGCTAAGGTGGTCAGCAGTGAGGTAGTTAAGTGCCTTGGACTTTCATGGGCATGCTGGAATTATGAGATTACTTAATTGGCTAACCACCTTTGAAAATCCTGTCTGATGTAGATATTTGAACTATTACCATGTTCCAAAGTTAACGTGCTGTTGACATAGGCAACCCTAAATATCTCAGAATGGCTATGTATAAAGTCAGGGAGGCTACCACTGAAAGTGGTTCTTAACAGGATGGCTTTAAAAAAGTAAGAGATGTAAAAATGAGTGAACAAACTATAACCACTTTAGATTCTTGAAAAGGGCTTATTTTGTAGCTAATAGATGCGTGATAGGTTGTAATCGTAGAACATTTTCAAGAAGAATAATAATTTTACATACGTTTGCTTTTCTAAATGCAGCATCATTCTCAGCATCTATGACAAATCTTGCTTTTTCCTTGCTGCTAACTTGTCTTTTCTATGTCTTTTTCCTGGTTAGCTCTTAGTTTTCTACCTTGATGAATGTAAAGCTCTTTTATTTCACTTATGGTCAGACTTAATGAATATCTGTCGTGCATGTTTATCTGTAGTTTGCTTTTACTTCCCCTTTGGCTGGCAGAAGAAAAAAAGTAGAAAGTAGTTAAGTAGAATGTAGTTTACACTTACAGAATATCTCATTAGGACAGGGAAAATAAATGTTACAAAAGGACCTCATGGATACGGTGCTGACAGAAACCCTAATGATTGGTGCATTGGTTTAGAGCTGCAATTGAGGATGGAGTAATGTGAAAAGAAATAAGTAGCACAGCGTAAATGAGAGATGTGCAGTCATTACCATAATGAGTGAAGGGAGAAATGAAGTTTGAATATTCTACTCAGAAGGACGTTTCTAAAATTCTGGATTGCTTGTTTCCCCCCCTTCCCTCTCCCCCTTCCCTCTCCCTCTCTTTGTTTCTCCCCTGTCTAGAGTAATACAACTCTAAACATACCTGCCTTTACTGCCTTTAATGTAAGTGTTCAGTAAATGTTATCAAAATAGTATGATTCTTTCTCGAAACATAATGCTTGAAGAGCAGATCCGATGAAGCTTATCAACAAATGTTTCTCTGACCTTAGTTGGAAAGTGGAAGGGTGATGACAAATCATTAAAAACAATAATAATTAATAAAATATCCAAGTCTACATTTTTAATTCAGCACATCAGAAGCAGGCATTAGAAACCTCATGAATTGAATGTATTTTGAAGCAAGATTTTAACAGATGACTGTTACATTACACAGGCACGGATACAAAGAAACCCATCTTCTGGTTGTGGTGGCCTGAGAAGCGCAGGTTTAAGCCTTCTCCATGTGCATACAATCTACATCATGTACCCCTGTAGCTTTTCTCACTACAGTGGTGTTACTGCATGAAGAAGCTTCCTCAGTGTTCAGAATTCCATGTGTGTCTTTAGGAAGTGGAAAGAGGATATTAGGATTCTGAATTAAGATATAATGGGAAAACATTGCATTGGATACTGACAAATCTTTGATTTACTACCTTGTGTACCTTCAGCTCATTCCAAGCTATACGTGTCTGTGTTATTTTTATGGTAATCTAACCTGTTTCCTGAAGGGGCTTTGATAACTTGGACTAACTTCTTGTCTTACTTTTCTTTGGATTCAGAGCCTCCTGCCCTGCCTTTGCTTGGGATTTGGCAATGTTTTTCTCTTTCTTTCCTGTCTTTTGTGACCAGAAAACTTAAGATAAGGCCTTTGCACTGGAAGTAATTCAACATATGAGTATTAAAGTCCTTCAAATCATCTTAGGAAGATAGGATGAATGGAAGATATCAGCAGTGTTTCTGTGAAGAGATATTTCACTTGAAATGGTACAGATTTCAGGGTCTTTCTATTCTACAAAAGTGGAGTGATAGATACCCTGATACCCTAGATACCCGCTCCTAGATACCCTGATAGCTGTAGCAAAACTCTTTTTCCCTGTCTTCATATGATAGTGAAATAGTTTCCATCTTAAATCAAGGATTTGTTTATTTTCATCTTTTTTTTTTCTTTCTTTCATTTCATTTCATTTCATTTCATTTCATTTCATTTTATTCAAATTACATAGTTCTGGTATCTGCGTTTGGGTTCCTGTTCCTCGCAAAGACAATTGTAAGCCGATTTCTGTGTGATAAGCACAAAGGAGAAACAGTGGTTTATGGAAAATGTGCCTTGCAAAGTTTCTTCACGTTGCTTTTGTAGAATTCACGTTGCTTTTCTGGAAGGTAGGCTACTGGGGGCACGGAATTGCTGCATGCCTACTGTGGGAGTTGCAATTGGTGACCTTTTTTTTAGGCCCACCTGAAAGGTGCAGGTCCTACAGCCTGCATCTGTAGTTCAGCACATGGTCCCCTCTGCAATCTGCATTTATCCCAGTGTTCTGATCTTTTAAAATCTTCTATAGCTTGGGATCTGAATTTTCACTGATTATTTCATGCTGTAACTTAGTTGTGGTTTTCTTAAATAGGGAAATACTCTCAGTTGATTGGTTTGTTGTGGCTGAAATTCTTTGGGATGGAATATTCTTTCAAGAAAGGCTTAGACTCTGCAGCAGATAGGAGTGCTTCTCCAGTCTATGCAATTTTATTAAAAATACAGCTTTTTCAGAGATAAGTGTTAGGAAGGAAAAATCTTTTAATTCTATAATTGCAATTAGACTCAGTCCCTTCTGATTGAGCTTTTAATCTTGCGGCGTCTCTTACTGAGAATTTTGAAGTGCATGGAACTCCTTAGTGATTTTTTATAAAGGCAGTTCTTGACAAGAAAACCTT